GATGAGATTGACTGGCTTTGGCCACTTTTAATCAGACGATCATATGTTAAGCTAAGCAGAGAATGAAAAATAGAGGAAGAACGGTGATGCATTCATAGTAAAAAAAGTTAATCTAAAGTTCTACCCTGAAATACAAAGTGGTAATTGATAGGTAAATATCCATACAAGGAAGATTGGTTAACATGACTTATTTAAATATATGCTCCTACATCTAGAGCCAAAGAGAAAGAAATTGAGAATTTTTACCAAACTTGCAGACTAAAATTGACTTAACATGCAATCAGGATGCATTAATGATAATTGCTAACTGCAATGCAAATGTGGGAAACGGTGAAGAAGTGGAAAATATGGGTTTGGTGGTAGAAATGAGGCTGATAATAGAATGAATGAATTTTGTATTTACAGTGATTTAGTCATTGCAAATACATTTTAAAACACATAAATGTTGACTTTACACATGGATCTCACCTGATGGATTGCATGGGAATCAGATCGACTATGTTTGTGGGAGAAATTACTGGAGAAGCTCAATATCTCCAGCCAAAACTAGGCAAGGGTTGGATTTTGTTTCAGATCATCAATTACTCATATGCAAGTTCAAAATGAGGTCAAAGAAAATTAAAATAAGTCCACAAGAACCCAAATATGAGAATCAATTCCATTTGAATTTCAAGATCATCTTAAGAATAAGTTTGAGGCATCTAACACCAATGATGAAATACCAGATGAGTTGTGGGATGTTATTAAGGATATCACCCATGAAGAAAGTAAAAGGTCACTACAAAAATGGAGGAGAAAGAAAAAACCAAAATGATAAAGATATAATCAAGATTAAAAGAGAAAGAGAGAGGGCAAACCTAGGCGAATAAATAGGTTTACCAGAGAATCTACTAGAGGGAGAATGCTATTACTATTGTGTGCCTTCTAGTTGGAACTGATCAATAGCTGGCCCTCCAGTGGATTTTCAGATGCAGAAAACCACAAAGCATATTGCCATTCTTCTCTCTTGGAGCACCTGGCATATTTGAACCATGTGCTTTTGGGATTACAGCACAGTTTCTTATTATACGGCCACCATAGCTCCCTATAGAGATCATTGTTGCTTATTTGTCTTATTTTTAGTTCATCACTACTTCCACACTTCCATTTCCAGAAATTCTTAAACAGTAATTTTGTGTTTATTTCCACAAAAGTTTTCATGGATTGTCAGCATACTTGACATAGCTTTCTTGCAGCTTAGCTTTAAAGATTACTTGAGCATGGCCTGTGCTTGAGAATGGCTTATGTTAGACAAAATTCGTTATATGTTTAAACCAACTCACTGCTGTAGAGTTGACTGTGACTCACAGAGACCCTATAGGCAGACAGAATTTCTTCCTAGGCTTTTGAAAGCTGTGATTTTTAAGGAAACAGATTGCTACTTCTTTCTCCTGTGAAATAAATGGTAGATTCAGACCACTGACTTTCTAGTTTGAAGCCGAACACTTGACTGCTGAACCACTAGGGCTGCTGGAAAGCAATCTAGGTGATCCTGAAAGTGAATCAAATTTACTAATTCCATAAATACAGCTGATAAATTACATGCCATTCTACCAATAGTCTTATCCTTTCCCCTTATAAAATAACATTAACACAAGGAGAATTCATGCCTTTGAGCTTTGGTGCTAGAGAAGAGTATTGAATATTGAGTAGAATATTGAGTATAAGAGTATTGAGACTGCTAGGAGAACAAACAAGTTCATCCTGGAGAGGGTGAAGGCAGGCTGCTCCTTGGTGGCAAGGATTATTCTTAAGCTCTGTCTAACATACGTGGGACATGTTGCAAGGCAGGATCAGTCCTTGGAGAGGGATGTAATGCTTGGGAGGGTGGAGGGACAGTGCAAGAGAGGAAGACCCTCTATGAGGTGGATTGATTAAGTGACTGGGGTAATGGGGGGGGTAGGTGTGCCAGAGATAATAAGATTGGCAAGGGATAGAGCAGGGTTTTGGGCTGTTGTACATAGGTGACTCAACAGCACATAACAACAACCACAACAACAATAACAACTATATATCCATGTCAATTAAAACATATGCCTGAAGTATGAGTGTGATGGAATCTGGTTTAATGCCCTGCTGTGTAGAGAATTAGTTTAGACTTAGACTCAAGCCTTTCAAGTCTTGATTTTTACAATATGTGTTGGTATTTAGTTTCCACTAATATGGAGTCTCTGAAAAGAGAAAATACTCTCAGAAATATTGTGAAATATTGAAAATTTTAGATACGTCAATATTGTACCAAACAACTGTACTCAACCATGGGTGCTTCATTTGTTAGAGGAGTTCAAGTTCCTAAATAGATTCAGCTAAAGTTTCTCTAAAGAAAATTTGGCAAAAGTTACTAGTTGATAAACTATCAAGGTACCTAATTATTTCTAATCATTAACTAGATTTAAAAAAATTTTTGTAACTCTAAGAGAAAATAAAAATCTGTGAAGGATAAACAGATAGCCAAGCTTGTTTGAAACTATTCTATCATTGTAATATACTTTCATGGAACAAAAAGGGAATGCCATTTTCTTTATATTTTAGAATACTGATTAGGGCAAGATATCAAGAAGGCACAATCCTTCCTAATAATAAATGTATGCAAATCTTTGGAAGGCCTATATCTTAAACATTAAGCAAATAAAATTCAATGTTAAAATGAAAATAAGTGTTGGCAGTTGGGGATTCACAGTGTATTTCTTTTTTTTACCTGTAAGTAATTTCTTTTTCTATCTAGAGGTATCATATTCTATACTCTTTTGCATTACAACCACTCAACATTTGTTTCCCTTTCTAAATTTCATTTACCACAGATCACCTAGAGGAACGTTTATTGAGTTAAATTATACTTCTGAGGAAATCTTTAGAAATTAATAGTTTTTCTTTCAAATGCAGTATCACAGTTTAGAATGAAATAAATATATCAAAAGTCAAGACAATTTCTATATTATAAAATCTTCTGTATAATGGTGTATGTCAGCACAGTTTCCTCAGCAAAAGTGACTCTTAAGTGTTCCTCAAGACCAATTCTGTTAGATGTTGCAGTTTCATGTCTCCACAGGATCAACCAACAACCTCAAGGGAGTTATCAGTTTCTAAGCACTGTGTCAGATAAATACTAGTCAGTATGCCATAAGAAAAATGGTATGGTCGTGGGGAGGAAAATACTTTCTCTTACGAGACCAAAATATTTTTTATCTTTTTATTTCTTTTCCCTGCTTCAGTAGGCAGGGCTTATGGAGTAAAACAAAGAGTTCAGGATCCTTTCCAGAACCAAATACATAGCTGAGGGCAAATGTTTAGTAAGTTCTTGTTGTTTATTTGTCTGGCACTAGACTGCATGCATTACATGGTTCTATCTTCCAACAAACTCTTATGAAGTTAGGGTATTTAAGGATGAAGGACTTGAGGCTTAGAGAAGTTAAGCAACCTGCTCAAGGTCATACACCTAGAAAATGATAGATGGGATTTGAACCAAATAAACAGCGTTGGTCTACCAGTTTCAAATAATATATACAATGATTAAAGTTATATGACACATTAACACACCGACATAGCTCATTATTATTATTACATGATTACAGATCTTATTATGGATTCTTATCAATCACAATACTGTCCTTCAATATTCTGAAGTCTTTAATTACTTAAAAAAAAATAGCTAACTTCTTTATCCTTTGCAGAAAAATCAAAACTCAGTGTTTTTAAAAAAACACAAAGACTGAACAGAGAAGGGAAATTATATTTGTGTTCATCTAGGAGCACATGTAATTTTTAACGAAATCACCATAATAGTTATTTATTTTGATATTCCTTTTATGTCAGAAAAAAAATATCTTGCATTTGCAGACATGATGGCTTAGTGGTAAGGAGCTGCACTGTCAACCCAAAGGCAAGCAGTTCAAATCCACTAGCTTGGAGAGCTCTGGTGGCCTAGTGGCAAGAAGCTGCACTGCAATCTCAGAGGTATGCGGTTCAAATCCACCAGATGCTCTGCTGAAGAAGGAGGGACAATTTCCTCCTGTACCAGTCAGATCTGATTTGATGGTACACACATAAAAAGTAATAAAAAAATTTTTATAAAACACAAAAAAAACCCCACAAATCCACTAGCTGTTCCACAGGTGAAAGATAGACAATCACCTTCCATGCAATTTGATTTACTGCCTCTGAAAATCTGCTGAAGGTTCAGCTATGAGTCAGTTCTGACTGAATGGTACATAACAATGTGTTAGAAATTATTATTTATAGATAAAATAAGATCCTTCCTCAAGTGCTGCCAGTGCAAAGGCGGACAGTTTGACTCCACCAGCTGCTCAGTGGCACTCTCCTACTGAGCAATTCATAGTCTCTGAAAACCCACTAGAGGTTCATCTATTAAGGAATAGCTTCCTATTCAGTAACAACGAGTTGAGTTGAATGACTCAGTGACATTGACCTATTTAGAGGTTAATATGTGACTTCTTAATAGGTATCTCCGGGCATCTAGCAGCAAGAAGCTGCACTACCATCCTGAAGGCTTGTGGTTCAAATCCACCAGCTTCTCAGTAGAAGAAGGATGGGCAATCTCCTCCTGTGCAAGTAACTGACTCTGAAAACTTGCCAGAGTGTCAGCTATGGGTTGGTTCTGACTCTATGGTATACTACAACAACAATAATGTAACTTCAGAGTTTCTGAAATAGATAATTGCCCTAATATGATTAAAAAAAAAGAAACTTCTCTTCAATATTCTATCAGTATCTTTATCTTTTGACTACAAGTGAGCATTATGAACATCATTACACTTTTTTTTCATAAAATATTCTCTTTATGAGCACCACTTTCATGGATTAAGACAGCATCATAAGCTTATTTTACTGAGAAAAAGTATTAAAAACATTGGCATGGGTTTCAACATCAAATAAGATGTTAGCTGCTTAAAAGTTCCTTGATCTCTATAACATCAATTTATGCCAAAATCCCCACATTTTACCTTATCACCTTGGATGCCAGGGGGACCCATCAATCCAGGAAGACCTTGATCACCCTGTACAGAAACATAAATAAGGGTTTATTATTGTAAAAAAGAATGAAAAAGTATATTTCCTTACTGCAGGATTTCAGTCAAGCCCTTATTGTATCACTTGGGATTTTCCCAGCAACTGACACTGAATGCACTTCCTTTCTAAGATCTATTACCACACTCCTTGGGACTCTTGATTCATGTTAGTGCTAAATATTTACATTGGAATTTCCCACCTCAAGCCTTTTTAAATCTTAGTTTATTTTTCACTTTTGTCCATACTTTTTTGTCATTGCCTTTTATGGGCACAATGCCATTAATGAAGGTCTACTGTTTTGAATAGAGCTAAAGTGGGTTTTGGATGTCCTCAAGGCTACTCCGATTTATGTACAACAGATTGAAATTCTGCCCAATCCAGCTAATGGTGGGCTGTTGGTTTTTTGTTTGGCCTTTTGTTTGTTTGTTTGTTTCTTTTCTTTTTTTTAATTCTACAAGCACTTTGTGAGAAGGCTGTAAACAGATCAGCCTGAATTGACCACTAAATGGAATCTCAAGAAAGCCTGAGGAATAAAGCCTAGCCAGGTTCACATGGGACAACAGAAGGAGACAGCATTAGGAAATAGACTACAGGCTGGTCATCTTCCACTAGCTCTAATGATGGTAAATCACCTTCTTTTCTTCAGTTCTTCCATCTGTAAAATGAGAATTACCAATAATGCCCCACCTCTGGCATAAAAGAGAGCTTTGGTGGCATAGTCCTTAAAAGAGTTATGTTCTCAACAAACCCAATGGTCATCTCTGGTGGTTGGAAACCATTAGCAGAAGAACTCCAAGAAAATGATAAGCAATCACTACCTTATGTAGTTGTTTCAATTGTTTTACCAATAACCATATGCTGTTGTTAGGGGCTGCCAAGTCAAGTATGACTCATAGCAACCCTATGAACAGCCAACTTGAAACCTGCCCTATCCTGTGCGATGCTCATCTTCTCTGAGACACTAGAACCCATCACTGATCACAGTGTCAGTCCATCACATGAGGACCTTATTTTCTTTTGCTAAAACCATATTATTTCTAAGCATGATGTCCCTTTTCAAGGAATAGCCTCACCTAGCTAGCAACATGTCCAAAGTATGAAAGATGAGACTTCATCATTCTTTTCTGCAAGAAGCACTCTAACCACAGCCTTTCCAGAACATAAGTGTTTGGGGTTTTGGGTGTAGTCCATGAGATATTCAGTATTCTTCTTCAGCACTACAACTCAATGGCATAATTTCTTATTCTGTATTCCTTATTCATGGTCCAACTCTGATGTGTAGCAGGTGATTGAGAAGACCATGGCCTGAATTAGGCACATCTTAGTCTTCAAACTGAAACCATTGCTCTTTAGTATTTTAGAGACATCCCTAACAGTCGACTTGTCCCGTGTAATACATCTCCTGATTTCCTGAATGCTGGGACCAAGTATGGTGATTGTGGATCCATGTAAGATGAAATCATTGACAACTTCAATCTTTTCTCCATCTGTCATAATGTTGACTGTTGGGCCTCAGGTGAGGATCTTTGTCTTCTTGATGTTGAGATGTAATCTATACGTTGTTGTTGTTCTTATGTGCCGTCGAGTCGTTTGCGACTCATAGCGACCCTATGCACAACAGCCCTAAACCCTGCTCTATCTTGCGCCAACCGCACCGCCTCTGACACACCCATGCGGATTACCCCAGTCACCGAATCAATCCATCTCATAGAGGGTCTTCCCTTCCTGCGCTGTTCCTCCACCCTCCCAAGCATGATGTCCCTCTCCAAGAACCCGTCCCTCCTGGCAACATGTCCAAAGTATGTCAGACGAAGCCCCAGAATCCTTGCCTCCAAGGATTTAGCTTGGTTTAATCCTCTCCAAGATGAATCTGTTTGTTTGCCTGGCAGTCCATGGTACATTCAGTACCCTTCTCCAGCACCACAGCTCAAAAGCGTCCACTCTCCTTTTGTCCTCCCTAGTCATTATCCAACTCTCTGATGCATAACAAGCGATTGCAAATACCATGGCCTGTATCAGGCGCACCTTAGTCTCCAGAGAGACACTGTTGCTCCTGAGTACTTTAGAGAGGTCCCTAACAGCAGACTTTCCCATCGCAATACGCTTTTTTGATTTCCTGACTGCTGGTGCCAAGAGTGTTGACTGTGCAGCCGAGCAAACTGAAGCTATGAACACTCTCAATCTCTTCGTCATCCATCCTGCCACTGCCAATTGGTCCAGTGGTGAGAACCTTTGTCTTCTTGACATTGAGCCTCCTCAGTCCATACCGAAGGCTGCAGTCCTTGACCCTTCGCAGCAAGTGCATGAGGTCCTCCTCAGTTTCAGCAAGCAGGGTTGTGTCATCTGCATAACGCAGACTGTTAATAGAAAACTGTAATCCTTGATTTTCTGTATCAAGGGTTTCATATTTCACTCACTTTCAGCATTAACCATATACTTATGGCAAAAATAACAAGTTAGTTTCTTCCCCAATCTTCCTCTACTCTCGCCAATTTAATGTTCACCTTTCATTTATATTTAAGAAGAATATCTACTAAAGAGAAAAGACTAGTGAGGTAATAATTATCCTAAATTATGTTAATTTTGTTTTTATTCCTATTGTTGTTGTTGATTACCTTTGAGTCAAGCATGACTCATAGCAACCCTATGAACAAAAGGCCAGAAACTTTTCTACAACTATTGACATTTATCAAAGTTCATAGAGTTTCCAGAGGCATGTTGCTTAGGAAGTGGATGACATTCCTGCTTCCAATTATTTTTATTATTTCATGTGTATAATTTCTCACTAAAAATTTAGATCCTGTGAATCTAAGTACAAAATCTAAGAGGTTGTTTTTAAGTTTGCCATTTTAAAAACAATTTTCATTTTTAAAGCTTGAGTTTTAACTTTTGCAATGTTATTAAATTCTATATTACTTTTGAATTTCTGCCATGTACTATTAAACACAACTAACGAGTGAATTGAAAAAGTAAAAATTTAACTGACATTCATTCAAGCATCAGTACTTTCTTTAAAGTGGGAAAGTATTTATTTTAATTATGCTTTAAGGTATTACACAGCTAGAAATTAACATATTTTGATTAATATAAAACAAAATTATTGTTAATATTCAAGCATTAATACAATTCAGGTAAATAAATGATCACTTCACACAAGGCTGAGGCCAAGACTAAAATTTTATACTGACCCACTATATAGTCTGTACAGAGAGCGACAAGTAAAGCTAATATAAATGTGAATGTTAATCTACGGATGTTATTTAAAGAGCCACCAAAACAGAGTGGGTCTCTAATTTCTAAATATTAAGCAAGAAACCAAGTAGCCTACACTTGTTTATGTTTCCTTCTCATATTGCAATAATCAAAAGACTAGTGAAAAGATTGTATTTCTAAACACAAACTTTCATTCCTTTTATAATTTATTTAAACTTAGTGTATTAAGTTCCATTACAGCAATACAATTTCTAAAATTTTACATAAGAACATTTTTAGCATTTACTTATTAGAGTAATAATTGTAGAGTTTATTAATTTGATGTATTTCCCCCCATGCTAATAACAGTTTCTATAAGCCAATTACAAGATCAGATATTTACTAAAGAATCACTAAAAATTGTAAAGGAATTTTTAAAGTTTGTAAATGTATGCCATATAAACAAAAGCACCCTATAATTATATCACATTCATTAAGTACTAGCCTAAACAAAGGTTACCAGATGTCTTCCTGAGACTTTCCATTAGTATTTATCCTCACTAGAAAATAGGATCCTCCTCCCTCAAAAGTTTTTGTTGGTATCTTTAAGACATTAGATCATTTTTTATCTAAATGTGTATATGTTTGAAAGCATCATGATAAAACGAATAGCACATTATACTAGAAATTAGAAGACTTGTTTTTAGTTTTAACTCTGTCATTTGCTACCCATATCATTAGATATTTCCCAACACTGTTTTCTCAACTGGATAATGAGTATTTCAGAGAGTTGTGGGATTTAAACAAGATTAAGAAAATGGAACAATCCTAAGAAGGTATATAAAGGATAGGAATTTTCCTATTATTGTATCAATCTGTATGGACAGCAAAATCTTTTCAGGGTTAGGACCATATCTGACTCCATGGACTGCAAAAAAGGCAAACATGTCAGTCTTGGAGTAAGTGCAATCAGGATGCTTCTTAAAGACAAAAGTGGTAAAACTACTTCACGTATATTGAGCACATCAGAAGGGGTCAGTCCTTGGAAAAAGACATCATGCTTTGAAAGGTAGAGGATCAGAGGAAAAGAAGAAAACTCTCACCACAATCAACTGACCCAGTGACTATAACAATGAGGTCAAGCATATTAGAGATCTTTAGCACAGCAGAGACTAGGGCAAAGTTCATATCTGGTACCTGTGAGTTACCATCAGTCAAAATCCAATCTATGCCACCTAGCAACATCAAGAAGACACGCTCATCACTGGGCCAATTGGAAGCACCATAAAAGATAGAGAAGAAATTGAGGTTGTTAGCAATTACATTTTGCTTGGATCCATAATCAACACTCTTAACACCAGCAGTCAGGAAATCAAAAGACGAATCACATTGGAAAATGTGCTGTCAGGGACCTCTCCGGAGTGCTGAAGAGCAATGATGTCAGTCTAGATACAAAGGTGAGCCATGTTTTTTCTCAGTTACTTGTTATCCTTCAGAAAGTAGGACAATGACTAAGGATAACAGAAGAAGAATATATGCCATCAAGTTTTAGTGCTGGAGAAGAGTCTTGAAGATACCATGGAATCAAGAAAACAAATAGGTCTGTCTTGGAGAGGGAGAAATCAAGTCTCTCATTGGAAGCTAGGATTTTGAAGCTCCTACTCATTTACTTTGATCACGTGGACAGGAGAGATTGGTCTTTGGAGGACATCATGCTCGAAAGGGTGGAAGGACAGGCCAGAAAAGGGAGACCACAGACGAGACGGAC